CCCTAGTGTCTTTTTCGTAAGTAGACACAAATGTGAACTTAAACAAAAATACTATCTAAGCATGTGCTTGAACTTTTTATTGAGCTAGATTTTGCTTGTTTTCAATTTGCTAATTTTTAACTGAAAACGGAAAAACCCAATTGACACAAACGATAATACAATGTTTTTGCTGATAAAAAACGGATCGAATAACTTTTTCTCATTTGTGATTTTTTTAGATCGTGATTGATCAAGCATTTGTTTATTGACCTTAAAACAAATTACAAGAAATACTGAAACGAATGAAAATGAGTGCTACCTACGACCTTATGAATCTCCGGGAGTCTAGGATGAGCTGTAGATGAGATCTACCAACGTCCGCTAGATGGTAATTTTGGACTAGTGGATCCGTAGCTGGCATTTTTTGTAGTTGCCCTACCAAAAGCTATGGGAAGAGAGAGCCGTGGCAGCCGTCCAACGGAGGTGGTGCTATTTTGGACATTGGCAAATGCGGTTACGCCAAACGGGTAGCAGTAGGCTCATGCGATGGCGTTTGGACAGATGCCTGGTCACTACATGACTCGTGAGCCGGGCTTGGGCTCGCAAAGGGAGTATAGGCTAGGAGAGATGCCTCTGCCCTTCCGCCCCAATTCCTCCACACAACCTATCTTTTGATCAAAATATCACGTGATGGAAAGGTATCTTCATCTACAGCTGATTTTCTTACTGCTGCTCCATCATCGAAGAATATGAAACTGAACGAAATCGAGTTGCAGACGGTAGTAGCGAGTGAGATTTGCTAACTCGAATTATTGAAAAGTTTATGGGATCAAGTGTCTCACATTAGCCAGTTGTCAATAGGGATTTTTTCTTCATTCCACTGGAGCGTAAATCCGGGTTAAATTTTGCATACACGTTTTGATGATGCTCTTCTTTGCACTTACTCAGAGTTTTGCGACCATTATGATCACATAAGGTTTTGTTACATAGTCTCCGCAACGGCGCTACGCTGGCTTAAGCTCTTTACTGACCTTGTTGATCTAAATGAAAATTTTGGACCCTCTAGCTGGCTTATTTAACCTTTTTAAACTGTCACTAAAAGATAAAACGATTAAGAAATTGTTTTTAACCTTAAACTTGGTAGTAATAAGGTATTCTGCAGATACTGACAACTGGCTATTTGCTTATCTTTCAGAAAAGCCCCAACCAAATAATTTCCTATCATCTGATAGTATAAGATCTGCGTAACGGGGTTGCCTGCCTTGAATGAACCAAATCTAACTTGCTAAATCAAATTGGTAAGAAATACACAGGTTCAAGTATCTCATATCAGCCAGTTAACAAAAAGGACTTTTCCGCTGCAGTGATTTTGGGTAAAATTTTAAATAGATAATTTGATGATGCTCTTGTTTGCTCCTACTCAAGGTTTTGAGACCATTATGATGCTTTAACGCTTTGTTACTTAACCTCCGCAACAGCGACGCTACGCTGGCTTAAAAGCTTTACTTTAGAAACTTCAGTTGGCTCAGTCTACTTCTTAAAAAAAACTGAGATTGGAAATTCAAAAGATCACTAAGAGAAACTATGAGGTAGAGAGTCACTAACTCGCATTGTCCGCGAGTCAAAGACCCAAAAAAGACAACAAGTAGAATCAAACAAAAAGAATTTATATCTGAAAAAAATCGTTTTTTTTTAATCAAAAATTACCAAAAAATAATACCGTGAAACAGAAAAACAAAATTTCCAAAACACATGAATTGATAATTCAACTAATTTTTCCAGAAGAGATGCATTCTGAGCTATTTTTTGGTACTGTAGATTGATGTGTGGCCTACCTAGTTAACAGATAAAGTTTAAAAAGTTCATTGGGTACCCTCACTGCAGTTGTGCTTGAAGGTTTTAAAATTTTAATTTAAAAACGTTTGGCACTGGTAGGATATAGTGGTGTATACGAGAGTTCTTACTGACTTACTTGACGCCAGACACATATGCAACACCTGTTTGAACCTCCATCGATTGCAAAGTTCCGAGTAAAACACAACGGTTTGGGTGTTTTGGAGAAACATTGGTTGTGATACTAATAAAAAAATTTCATATCACGCACACAATCTTCGTTTTTTTTTTCAAAACTTAAATAATCTGATTATTTTGACCCACTGGTTTGTGTCAAAAAATTTGAATAAATTGTTTGTGTAACTTACGCACATTTCGATCTTGCTCTTTAAGAAAAATGCTCAAAATGACCCAGAAAAAAACGGAAAACCAAATGTGTTGTTGTGCTTGTCGTTGATGTTGTTGTCGAAGATAATCTTGTTGTCGTTATTTTTGTTCTTTTTGTTGTTGTTATTGTTGTCGTCGTTGTTTTTGTTGCTGTTGTTGTTGTTGTTGTTGTTGTTGCTGCTGCTGCTGATGCTGTTTTTGTTTTGTTGTTGTTGTTGTTGTTGTTGTTGTTGATGTTGTTTTTGTTGATTTTGTTGTTGTTGTTGTTATTGTTCTCGTTGTTACTCTTGTTGCTATTCAT